CAGTAGAAGATCTTACACTAGAGACAGCTAAAGATCCTAGTATAGGAACACATGAATAATATTATATAGCAACACTAGAGTCAACAGCATACAAAGCAACATTTACATCAGACATGTCCATAGTCAAGACAGGCAAACCACGCTGTCTCAGCGTAAACCAGTTCGGGGTGGCCACGTGAGGCCTAAAACTCTAGCGATAGAGGTTGTCGAAGAGGCGGAAACAGCGCACAGCAGAGTGACCGTGACGCCCGCCTGTCAGAAGTCAATACTGATAGGACCCCTCGTCCCGACGACGGGGCACCCAGCTATCAGGGCCGCCACCGCGGCCGACGCTGCCTGGGCCAGCAGGTCCCCACTGCTGAATCTGCCGCTGTTGCTGCAACGGCTGTTGCTGATGTTGCTGCTGCCGCTGCTGGTGCATCATGTCAGAATGTTATCTTATGCTCTAGCCTGTAGTGGGGTGCTCTATAGCGAGTACAACCCTTCTAGGGTTTGCTATTTGTATCCTCATTCTTGCTAGTGCAATCCTCTTCTTCCTTCTAAACTTTAACATGCTATCAGAGCAGGTCGATCCCCTTGGATCGATCCTGTGGGTGGGCTTACCACCTCCTAGCTTCCGCTGCAACTCCTACCACTACACTCGGTGCCGCACGCCCCGTGGCGTGTGGCAGTTTTCTTCCCGCCGTGCGCCCCGAGGCGCGCGGCGGTTTTCTTCCCGCCGTGCGCCCCGAGGCGCGCGGCGGTTTTCTGCCCGCCGTGCGCCCCGAGGCGCGCGGCGGTTCTCTGCCCGCTGTGCGCCCCGAGGCGCGCGGCGGGCTTCGGCCCCGTCAACCGTCGCGTCGCCCTCGGGAGGCGCCGCGACGGGCGACGGGGACCCGTTCGTCGCCCCCCGTCGCCTGTCGTGGCCTGCGCGCGGCCCGTACAGGCAGCGCGCGACCCGTACGGGCTGCGCCAGGCCAGCGCGCGACCCGTACGGGCTGCGCCAGGCCCGCGCGCGACCCGTACGGGCTGCGCCAGGCCCGCGCACCACCCGTACGGGCTGCGCCAGGCCCGCGCGCGGCCCGTACGGGCGGCGCCAGGCCCGCGCGCGGCTCAGGCCGCCTACGCGCGGTTCGGGCGACCCTACCAGGCCCGTGGTGGGCCCGCTCCTCGCTGCCCCTGCCCTCCCTACTGTCCCCCAGCGCTTCTACTCGTGCCCCACCCCTCCTACTCCCCATTCTCCTGTATTAGGGTTTGGGGGTGCGGGGTATGGGGGTGCACCCACTGTGTACTGTTCCCTGCTCCTCCTCCTCCTCCGTCTCCCTGTGCTGCAGCTGCCGCTGAGGGGGGGTGGACGTGTTGGAGCCGGTGGAGTGGTACTAAGGGGGGGTGAAGGGGGAGTGGAGCTAGCGGTGTAGCAGCGGGTATGTGCCAGGGGGGAGTGGGATAGTTTGGGGAAGCTGAATGGAGGTTGCCGTCGTGTCGCCAGCAGCACCTGTATTCCGGGGACTTCGTCCGGTAGCCCAGTCGTAGCCAGCTGTGCCAGCCGCCCGTGGGTCCGTTGCTCGTCTGCCGCTACTTTAGCCGCGGGGCCTGTTACTCCTGTATTCCGGGGACTTCGTCCGGTAGCCGCTGTGCCAGTCTGCCTCCTGTTGCCTGTGTGTCTGCAGCTTCAGCCGTCGCCTCCTATCTCCTCTCCTCTCACTCTCTCTCCTCCTCCTCACTTGCCCGTTGTGACTACCACTAGCTTTGCTCATAATTGTGAACTTAAACTATTGCTTCTTGAACTTGTGCTCAGAATGTGTGGTGACATTGTGATCCACCCTGAGCTTGTACTCCTTTGCTTACTCTGCTGATTACACCCCACTTTGGCTATGGGGGTGTGTCAGAATGTTATCTTATGCTCTAGCCTGTAGTGGGGTGCTCTATAGCGAGTACAACCCTTCTAGGGTTTGCTATTTGTATCCTCATTCTTGCTAGTGCAATCCTCTTCTTCCTTCTAAACTTTAACACATCACTGCCACACCCCCAGGACCAGCACCTCCTCCGGCCGCACCACCAGACTCAGTACCTCCGCCAGCATTAGTTCCCTCAGTTCAGATTCCCTGCGCACACACACACCAGCCATACATTAGGCGGCGGGGAGGTAGGATTTTCAGCACAGGAAATTGATGTGCAACATTCCTGGCGTTAACAGTAACTAACATTTGCCGGTGAAGTTGTAAATCCCCTCCTTCTCAAACCACTCCTGATACTGTAGCCTGACTTCAGCCTTGAAGGAGCGCTTCACATAGACATCGGGGGGTTGCACCTCCGACGTGCGACCCGCTAGGATCATACCAGGGACGACCCGCAACTCAGAGTACTTCGCCTTCACCTCGTCAGTTAGATGACCCCGATAAGAACACAGGATCAGCAGAGCTGACCGCACTTGGATGCCGAATCGAGAAAACAGGAATGGCTTCAAAGAAACATATTAAACAAAGTTAACAAATAG